AAGAACCAATCATTTTGCTTGGAGATCCTGAGAGCTGACATGTTTCTGTAGTATACCATCCTCCAGTTGGAAAGTCCTGCTATGTCTGCTTGAAAGCAGGCCTGGCTACAGATCCTCCTTGGGGAAGAAAGCAGGTGTCTCCTTGATGAGACTGTGGATTGTCACTCCCTCTGTTTTTGGTAAGACACTCTCCCCCACACACACACCCAGCACCACCACCACTGTTAAGTGGCCTAGTGTGTCTTTGTCAGGAGTCTCACTGGTTCAACTTGCCCAGTGAAGCCACCAACCCTTCGAGGGTGGCAGGATGGTGGCTGCCTTTCTACGCAGATGGAATGAGAGACCTAAAGTCCAGCTGCCCCTGATGAAGCATTCCAAGTCTCCCTCCTTTTAGTCTCACCTCATACTGCCATCTGAGGGCTCCACCAAGTTACTAAGCCTTCCACCATCTTCAGTGTGAATTTGTTAACCCTTGAAGTTCCTCCTGGAGAAGGTGTGACTCTCCAGCCCCCTGGGCCAGCAGCTGCTTTCTAGTGTCTTGTTGGTTGTTGACTTTCTCTAATTCACTTTGCCCAGTGGGATATCCTTTTAAAAATCCCTTCACTTGCATTTTATTAGGGTTTGGGGAGGAAGAGGAGATAACTATGTGCTCAATCTGTTGTGTACCTTCCTTCTCCAAAGAAATGGAAACAAGAGATGGCTTTAATAATTGTTATAACGTGGATGCTTCAGGAAAGACACTGTGGAGTTTCACTTAGATGCCTATTGAAGAAGCTTAGCCTTATATCAAAGCTTGGTAAATATATGTGTGCATTTATTTTTTAGATCAAAACAATACCTTTGCACTATACAAATGTGTATTATTATTTAACAAATGTCTACTCTGATTGCATTTTTTAATGAGTCACCCTATTCTGCTCCTGGCTGTGATGTAAAAGACCATCTCTTTTGACCCCTATAACGTATATATTGCAGACAGTGACTAACTGTAGGACAAGGGGAGATAGGTGGTCAGGACAGGGGGTTACGTATTTCTGGACAATGAAGAAGCTATGTATCTGGAGGTGGGACTGAGTCTAGGTTCTTGTAGCACCAGCCTTCAGCCCTCTCTTTGTCATTTGCTTATTAATTCTTTCAATAAGTATTTGTTGGCTTCCTGCTCTAAAGCATCTTGCTGTGGGAATACAGAGCCATTGACATTACCCGCACAGATGTTTCCTGGTTTTTCATAAGCACAAAAGGGACATAGTGCCCCTTCCTTGGGCTGAACACATGCTGTTGAATGTCTTTTCTTTCTCCTATCCTTTGTCTGAAGGTGTTTTTTTTTTTTTTTTAAAGTCTTTGTTCTCCTAATGTTATTGAGGCAATTGAACATTTGAATGGTAGTGGGGAGGGGTAGGCAAAGGGCTAAAAGTAGAAATTCCTTTTCCTATAAATGGAATGATCTGGAATGTTTTTATAAAAAGCATTGGCTGATATTTGTTGGCCACAAGGACGTCACAGAATCTTAACCCTCACGTGAACTACAACAGCAAGATTTAACAGTATTACAGGCTCTGTATTCAGCAGCTAGCTGTGAGTCACTGGCAGCCGTGAGGCAGACACCCTTTCCCCAAAGCAAGACGAAGAAAAGACTTGCTGTGTGGTCACACCCCTTTCTGGACTCATGTCTTCTCAATTCTGGGAAGGGGCTTGACAGATAATAATTTTTTTCTTTATTTTGATAGCATAGAAACAACTAGCAGGTTTTGTCCACAAGGAAATTCAGCCCTAGCTGACGTGGGCTGAGGACTGTTTATAGCATGTACCTTTCTCATTGCCTCACAATTAGCCAAAGAAGTGGCTTTCATGTCTGTGTCACATATGAGGAACAAGAGTATCCAGATGCATTAGTATCTATTGCTGTTGATCTTCTCTTTCCATTAAGTCTTCCAGCTTTTTGCTCAAGATACTGTCCTGGTGTGAGGGGAAGGTCTGGGGTCTGTAAATAGCCTGTGTAAAGAGAAAAGGCTTCTTGAGAAGCGGCAGAAGCTGTTAGAACAAAACAGAGTCTGGGAGGCTTGAGAGAAAGAAAACAGGCTTGAGGGAACCAGGTGGAGCAGGGTGGGAGCATTGGAACCAAAAGCCAGAGAAGAGGAACAAAGGCCAGGAGCAGGAATTAGCAGTGGGCAGGGGAGGAGGGGCCAGAGCTTTCTTGGGTTACATTATGTGTGCCGCACCTTTTGTTTCATTTTTCATGGAGTGGTTACAGTGCCCCAGCAGTGAAAACTCTCATAGTAGCTTTTGCAAGCCTGTGGTTCACCTTCACATCTCTTACTTTATCCTGGTAATTTAGACCCAGACCCAAAGGCTTTGTGTCTGAAAAGGGGGTGGGCAAGAAAGTTCTAGGAGTCCCTCACCCAGGCCACAGCCCAGGTTCATTAACTGCTGAACAGCCATAATCCTACAAGCTCCTTCCCTGTCCTGATGTGGAAGAAGCTCGGGAAGGGAGTTCAAAGGTGCAGTATTCAATCAGTGAAGTAAACCCACAAAACATGGCCACATTTCAGAAAATGTAAACACTCCCTTTTTATTTGTTTGGTTTTGGTCTCATGTTTGGGTCTCAAACTCTCTATGTTCGAGGATGACCTTGAACTCCTGGTCCTCCTGCCTTCACCTCCCAAGTGCTGGGATTACAGGCACCACCACACTTGGCCTTTTTCTCTTTTTTCAGTGCTGAGGATAAAACCTAGGCAAGAACTCCTCCACTGAGTTATAGCTCCAGCTATTTTTTTTTTTTCACTACTGTGGTTGGAACTTGGGTTTTTACCAGACTCCCTCCCCCTTTTCTTTAGAGAGGAAATGGTCTCATTATGCAGCTTAGGCTGGTCTCTCTCTTCCTCTTGCGTGCTGGAATTATAAGTATGTACCACCGTACCTAGCTATATGTACCATTTTTCAAAGACTTAATATCAATCCCTCCTACCCAAACTTGAGTTACAGACTGTTACTGCCAAAGGTTTATCAAGGTAACGCAAACAGAGAACGAAATCCTCTGTTTCTCAATAAGAGCCAAACTTCTACTGCAGGGCTGCCTGCCCCTTGGGAAGTTCTGCCGTATGAATGTAGTTGTGAACAAACTGTGGCCCCAGGAGTTTTGTTCTGCCCAGTGGGGAGCTGTGGAAACCAAGCTGAAAACACAGATGCAAGCATATGGGTTCCACAGCAGAAATAGATGTTACCATCTGGCACACCAGAACCTCCAGTGACTCCCTCACCTCCTGCCTCAAACTTCTCTAGGTTGAGCACAGATGGCATTTGAGATACGTTTGCTTACTTTAAAAAATGATTTAGTTCTGGTTTTAAGCAGAGCTAGGAGGTGATGTGCATGGTTAGGGGTGCCTGCCAAAACAGAGCTCAAAGAAGGAAGTTTTGAGGATAGACTACTGTGTACCTCATAGCTAGGACCTGAATGAGATGTTTCTTCATTAGGATAATAATTTATTCTAGGAGAGAGGCAGTCAGCAGGCCAGCTCTTGGAGACTAAAGAGGGTCAGAGATGGAAGGTGGCTCTATGAAGGAATTTCCTGGATCCTTCTCACCAACCCCTGTATGATTTTTCGACTTGGATTTCTGGGAGAGAAACTTCTTAGGTGGTTAGGCAATTAAGCATGTAAAGAATTTGAGCACAAATTCCAGACTGTTAACAATTTGTAATATGGCCAATCAAGTCATATTTGCTAAGTCCCTTGGACTTAAACATCTAGACTCTTAGTGACTGTGAACATCTAGAGTTTTACTTAAGATTATGGAATTTGGGAGACACAGGAGAAAGGAGCCAAAGGAGTTCTTCTTTCAGTGTTTTTCCTGAGCTCTAGTTTATCCTTTTTAATCTTTCCTTTCTTCCTTCCTTTCTCCTTCCCTCCCTCCCCACCTCTCTTTCTTTTTTTTGACAGGACATCACTCTGTAACCCTGGCTAATCTTGAACTTGTGATATAGACCATGTTGGCCTTAAACTTGTATAGTCCTCCTGCCTCTGCCTCTGGAAAGCTGAAGTTACAGGAATGTACCACCACTCCTGGATTTTTGTTATTGTTATTTGTTTCATTTTACTTTGAAACAAGGTTTCATGTAGCCCAGGCTAACCTTCAATTCACTATGTAGGGATAGCGGGAGGATGACTTCAAACTCCTGATCCTTCTGCAGCTACCTCCCAAATGCTGAGATTACAGACATGCACCACTTCACTATGCTCAGTTTGTCTAGTCCACATGATCAGTTTTTTCTGTGATATGTCCCATGTTGATACATTGGGTTGATCATCAGTTGTGTAACCACACCTGGATTCTAATAGTTATGACTCTTTGGACTGAAACACCTGTCCCTTAAAATGCCCAGTAAGAGGGACTGGAGAGATGACGGCTCAGTGATTAGAACACTGGCTGATCTTGCAGAGGACCCAAGTTCGGTTCCCAGCACTTACATAGCAGCTAACAACCATCCAGAACTCTAGTTCCAGGGACTCCGATGCCCTCTTCTGACTTCTGTGGGCATTGCATAACACAGGTGCACTTGCATATATGCAGGCAAAACACTCAGACATATAAACTAAAAATAAAATATTTAAAATGTCCAATAAGATAAAATCTGGACACTGTCCCTATTAACACTCCTTAAAGAATTAAGTGTTTGCTGTATGAGCTGGCTACAGTGTCACTCACTGTGTGAAGGTTCCTAGTTCACCCAAGAAAGATCTGCCTGTGAGTTGAAGAACACTGCCTATCCCCTTGAGTCAGAGTGGTGCTGCCCACCCCATTGTCTTTTTTTCTGACCATGCTGGTGATACCTACTGTGTGCTAGGACACTTTTAGAACTGGATGAAACTCATACCCTTCTCCATCTTCCCTCTTCAGACAGTGGGTGGCTGGAATGGCCTCTTGGTTAGTGCCATCTAGTTTAGGGACAGAGACGCTAGCATTGCTGATGGTCAATCAGAATGCTAATTCCTCCTCCCCTCCAGATCCATGAGAAGGAAGAGGATGAATTCAATGAGAAGAGTGAAAATGATTCTGGCATCAACGAAGAGCCTCTCCTCACAGCAGATCAGGTATGGATGAGAACTGCCACTCTCCACCCACTTCACCTGACCCCATCGCACCTCCATGGGTTCTCAGGACTTTTCTGATAGAGAAAAAGGTTGAACAAAACATACTTGCCACATCCATCTAAGGCATAAGAAAGATGTATGGTCTTGAGTTGGCCATGTTAATGATTCTTGGTATCTTTAATAAATTTAATTTCTCTTTATGTCTCAGTTTACCTGTTTGTGGCAGATATAAAGATAATTCCTGATACTTGGGTTGGCCAGAGTAGTTTTAATGACAACCAGAGACAGGCCTAGAGTTTCCTGATTTTGTGTCCTGTGAAGCTTCTGGGGATTTCTTGTGCCTGGAGTTCAGACACTTAGAGGAGGGTCACAAATACCTGTTCTTCATAGAAGCAAAGTGACAGATGAGGCTTCTGTGTGATAGATATTTATCACATTTCATAGAATCCTGAAAATGTTTAGCCTTCCAGAAGGAGTCTCAGAGACACTTCTATCTTTGTGAAAAAAAAAATGCAATGCTTCACGGTTTTAAATTTGAGTTCATTATGTTTCAGTTTTAGTAATTTCTCACTTAGGGAGGATTGTGTTGAGTCTCCTTATTCACCTTCTTAGTCAACAAATATCTACAAGTGTTTACCTGAGTTAATCACCATACAAATTTTCATGAGTCATTCTGAAAATGCTCCCCTGGAACCCATCAGAGCCAAATAACATTCATTTTAGTAGAAGTGCTCCTTCATGCCTGTGGCTAAAGGGTAGGATTCTGTTTTTTTCTTTTCTTTATTTTTTTAAAGTTGACTTTAATACAGGCAAGAAATGGGGAATTTATTGAAGGGAATCATGTAAAAAGAACAGGGTTTGCTGGGTATGGTGTCCCATACTTGTAAACTCAACACTTGGGAGATATAGGTAGGAGGATTAGGAGTTCTAGGGTCACCTCGGCTACATGATACCCTGTCTCAAAAAACAACAAAACAAATACAAAACAAAGCAAAACAAAAGAAAGGGGCTAACAGTTGTTATTGGGACTTGCAGGAAAGGACTGTACCTCAATGATAGGCTTCATATTGGTTACTTTTCTCATTGTTGTGATCAAATACCTGACACAAGCAACTTAAGGAAGGAAGGGCTTATTGCTCACGTTTGAGGGAACTCCATCATGTCAGTGACATCATGGTGGCAGGACCATGAGATGGCTGGTCACATTGCATGTGCAGTCAGGAAGCAGAGAGAGAGGACTGTTGGTACTCAGCTCACCTCCTTTCTATACAGTCCAGGATCCACACTCCATAGAATGGTACTGCCCATCATTAGAATAAGTCTTATCACTTCAGTTAACTCAATCTAGAAACTATGTCACAGACATGCTCAGAGGTTTGTCTTACAGATGACTTTAGAACCTGCCAAGTTGACAATATTAACCACCACAGGCTCAATGACTAGGTATATCCTAAGTTTGCAAGTAGATTTTAGGTTTGTAAATAAAACAGACATTATTTTAAAAGAGGAAACACTAAACCCCGTTACTTCCAGTCAAACCCAATAGGAAAAAAAAAAAATCTACTTCCAAGATCACAGTCTAATGGCTTCAGAGGTTGAGTCTCTTACAACATTGGGAAGAGACAGATGTCTAAATGTGCTGTTCTACCAAACTCATCTACTGACCCACTGTCACATGAAGGCTTTGCTCATTTGCTTTCTTTATGTGTAGGTAACTGCTGTCCACAGCAATTTATCCATTCCTTCAGGCCAGTATACCTTCAGCTTCTAGGAGTTGAGCCCTGTCAATAGTCAGAATCAGAGTTGGGGTTCTTACCTATTTTCTGCTCTCCAGATCTTGTCTTTTATTATTTTTTAATCTTTATTTTCACCTTTTGCTGGACAGTTAGTTCCTGTTCGGGTGAATTCTAGAGAGACACCTGTTTTCCTCCCCATTTGGAGTTGTTCTGGGAATGCTTTTCCTTCCCAGTCACAAGTGGTGTGACAATTAATGGACTGGGTTTTATGTTATAGGTGGGTGGATAAAATGTTTTCCCACTTAGAAATAAATTGCTGAGCCAACTGAAGTAAATGTTTCCTTCCAGGCATCTCTGCTCATTTCCTGAAAGAGTAGCTTGTTTCCAATAAAGCATTCATCTAAATGGAGCACTTGGAAGAGGTTTTACACTAGAGTGCTTTACATTAAAGAAAGAGTATATGTAAGCCTTTGGTTGGGTCTATTTTTATTATTATTCAATATTTATGAAGCTATGACATTGCTTCAGGAATTTTACAGACAGCAAATTAGAAATGTCTCTATTCAAATGAGCTGGAATGCCCCTCTAGGAGGGAACAGAATTTGTACTCTTTCCTTAGGTGATTGAGGAAATCGAAGAAATGATGCAGAACTCCCCAGATCCAGAGGAGGAAGAGGAGGTCCTAGAAGAGGAGGATGGAGGAGAAATCTCATCCCAGGCAGACTCAGTCTTGCTGCAGGAGATGCAGGCCTTGACACAGACCTTCAACAACAACTGGTCCTATGAAGGTGAGCCACCCCCCCAGTCCCCCTGGGCCAGGTTTGTTAAGAGCAAAGCACCTACTCAGTGCCAGGTCCTATTTATGGAGGTTTCAGAACTTTGATCACCTTAGAGCAGAGGCTTGCAAATCCAGGAGCGGGACAACACCTTCCCTATTTAGTATCTGTAGAGAAATTAGCGCTTTTAAAAATATTTTAAATTTTTTATTATTTTTATTTTATGTGTGTGCGTTTACTGCTGGCATGTGTCAGTGTCCTGCAATGCCCAAAGTCAGAAGAGGGCGCTGGATCCCCTGGAACTGGAATTACGGATGGCTGCTAGTCATCATGTGGGTGCTAGGAATTGAACCGCTGCAAGAGCAGAGCAGAGTCCTCTGCAAGAGCAGCCAGTGCTCTTCACTGCTGAGCCATCTCTCCAGCCCCGAGAGTTAGCAATTTTTTAAATTAAAAAAAGCAGTAAAGCAAATTAAAGTGCTAAAGCTAATCAAACAAGACAAGTAGAATAAGTAGGAATCTAAACCACTGTCCAAATGCAATCAATGATACTACCATGAAACCAATTGAAAAAATATAAAAGGTACGGTAGGAGCTGTAGTTCAGTAATAGAGCACTTGCCACACACACACACACACACACACACACACACACACACACACACACACATACACGTATATGGTAATGTTAGTGTTTTCTAGCCTAAGATTTTTTCATATGTATTTTCAAACGAACTTCACTCCGGTCTCCCTTTGATTAAGCTGTCTTCTGGAGGTTAAATGACTTGTCCAAGACCACTTTTGGAAAAACAGAATTGCAAATAAAATCTCCTTGCCCCCCAGAAAGACCTCTCCACAAAGGTATTAGAGACAGAGAGACAGAAAGAGAGCAATTTTATTACTGAGTAAGCATTAAATGAGAACAGGTTGCACATCACAGGCAATTGGCTAAAGGGGATAGCAAAGACAGAAAGAAATCTCACTCTTGTTATATCTAAGTGGATGGAACCCATTACCTTAAGTAGGTTTTGCAATTTGGAGTCAGGTGGCTGAGTTAGGCCTCTGTGCTTCCAGAACAGTGGGAGATTAGGCCTTATCTTCCTTGATGATTACATTTCCAAGCAGTGGCTCTCAGGCCCCTGAGGAAACCTTTCTGAGCTGTGGAGATGGTAGGAGGCTTATTTAGTCATTAAAAGATTTAATATCTGCTTGAGAAGGATAAACAAGGAAATTCTAAAAGAAAAGGGAGATGGAGGAAAGGAAGTCTCTTTGTGTGTGTGTGTGTGTGTGTGTGTGTGTGTGTGTGTGTGTGTGTGTAGTGCCTCATGCTAGCATGTGCTCTATCACTGAGCTACACCCTCAGCCTTCTTCCCTTATTTCAATAGGATAGACTGAGGACTCATTTTAAATTTGCACTTACCCGCATACTTCCTGTATATTACAAGGGGTGCAGCCAGCACTTGATGCCAGAGATATTAACTCCAGAGGCCAGTCTCTCAAGCCCTGTCTCACATTACCTCTCTGACACAAATTTATAGTAATGACCACACGGAGAGGGCTGGATGAAGCGTGAAATGAAAGCAGAGTATAGAATCCAGTGGTCATCCTAGGGGTGACAATGCCCACACGGCAGGAGGGGCCCTGTTCTTGGGAGGAGGTTACTATGAGGGTGGCGGGGCTGGTAGAGAAGGCAGGTCAGTCGGGGTACGAAGGTCCAAATTTAGGTTGGAAGAGGCAAAAATGGAGGCAAAAACTGGACACTGTTTTCTGAAAGCAAAGCTGAGCAGCCCTAAGTAGCTGAGGCAGGGTGTGTCGCTGGGGTGATGGAGTGGGTTTGGCTGCCTAGCTGCATTCATAGATGCCCCAGTCAGGCCATTCTCAGCTACACAAAGGGCCTAAACATAGAAGTGCTCAGCAAAGAGCTTGTGAAAACAGCTGAGAAACAGAGTGAAATGGCAAGAAAACAGGAGGAGGACAGCTCCAAAGAGCCAAACAAAGGGGAAGAGCCAACCAAATCGGCAGATGCCCAGGTGAAGCAGGAAGGAGGAGAGGAGGACTCTGAGGTGAAGCTAAAGGATACCACCAGTTAGGGACACACTTTAAAAGGTGTTCCCTAAATCTGTGATATTTATTTTTCCAATATATTTCATTGGTGGGTGGCAAATTTATGTTTATGAGTTAGTGTCGTCTGAAACATTTCAGTACATGTGTAAGATCTGTAATGACTGGATCAAGGTAACTAGCTTATCAATCACCTCAGACACAATCATTTCTTTATGATGGGAACTCTGTGTGTGTGTGTGTGTGTGTGTGTGTGTGTGTGTGTGTGTGTGTGGCTAGGGGTTGAACCCAGGGTTTTACATATGCTAATCACATGCTCTGCCACTGACCTACATTCTGTGTCAGGAGCATTTAAAATCCTTTCTGCTCACTAGATATGGTGGCACATACCTGTAATCCCAGGATTCAGAAGGCTGAGTCAGGAGGAGTGAGGGTTCAAGGCCAGGCTTGGCTACATATTAAAACAAAACAACAAAATCTTCCTTGCTACTTTTTTTTTTGAGACAGGTTCTGGCTGTGTAGCCCTGGTTCACCTGGAACTCACTATGTAGACCAGGCTGGCCTCTAACTCACAGCAATCCATCTCCCTCTGCCTCTTGATTTCTAAGATTAAAGGCATGTCCCAGCAGGCTCTCCTACCTTTTTTGAAGTAGTCAGTTAGTTGTCAACTGCCTACTTGTATTATACATCATACAGCCTTAGAGACAAGAAGTTACCTATGTCCACGATCTCTAGTACCCTTTCTTTGTCTCTGAAGTAGCAGACTGACCAGGTTCCATTTTCACAGCACCTTCCTATTGTACCCCAGGTCTTTCATAGTTTAGAGTGCATGGACTGAGGCACTGGACTATATATCCTCAGGCCATAAATTCATTTGGGGGAAGCTCTATCTTGATTACTTTTTAGGAATAAATAACACCTCCCTTATTACTCCAGCACAGAAACCAAAAACTTTAGTGGTTTCTCCCTCAATTCTTTTTTTAAAAAATATTTTATTTCTTATTTTTATTTTATGTGTATGAGTGTATTGCCTGCATGTATGTGAATGCACCCGTGTCATGCAATGTGGTTCATAGCCGCCATGTGGGTGCTGGGAATCGAACTCGGGTCCTCTGCAAGAGCAATCAGTGCTCTTAACTGCTGAGCCCTCTCTCCAGCCCCTCCCTCAATTCTTGACCTATTCTACATGAGCAATGTAGAGACAGAGGATAAACAGACAAAACAAGGGATCAAAGCCAGCCATGTGTCCACCTACATTTTTGGGCAGAGTCCTCTGGCTTCTTTGGGTACTGTCCCCGTTTCCCAAGTTGGGTAGTCTCTTCTCTTTATGCTACAAAGCCCCTCTCTTCCTGGACTTCCCCTGGATTGTGAAGGTCTTTCAGGGACTCTCTGGGAGTTGGAGGCAATCCCTCTAAGAAGAGTCCCATCGCCAGTGGGCTCGTACCTGCCTGCAGGTGTCACCTACCAGACTCATCTTCCTCTGCAGGGCTGAGGCACATGTCTGGGTCTGAGCTGACGGAGCTGCTGGACCAGGTGGAAGGTGCCATCCGAGACTTCTCAGAGGAGCTGGTGCAGCAGCTGGCCCGCAGGGACGAGCTGGAGTTTGAGAAGGAAGTAAAGAACTCCTTCATCACGGTGCTCATCGAGGTTCAGAACAAGCAGAAGGAGCAGCGGGAACTGATGAAAAAAAGGCGGAAAGAGAAGGGGCTGAGCCTGCAGAGCAACCGGATAGAGAAAGGAAACCAGATGCCTCTCAAGGTACGTGAGCCACCCAGCCATAGGACAAAGCACAGACAGCCTGGGGCCAGAGCCATCATACTTCCTGAGACCTACCCTCAGTGGACCCCTAAGTGTTACTGGGTAACAGCTGTGAGCAGAACCCTGTGACAGGCAGTGGGGTCAGAAAGGAAGACCTGTTTCCTTGTCTCTCCAGAGAGCCTTTCTGCTGTAAGTTGGGGAGATGTTGAGTAAATGTTAAAAAGTGATTGGATATAGTCTGTGTTCTTCAGGCTAGACCTTGGGAAGACAGAGTTGGATCAAGATGTTTGTCATTGGCATGGATTATTGCTCTGCCTGGTCTGTAGGGTATGTGTAGGGAGATGGTAGACTTTTTCAATGGCTAGAAAATGACCAGATGCCTCATTGGTCTATTGACAGCATTCTTCAAAGCAGTGGTTCTTGATAGGGGGAAGCTCTGTAGAACTATCTAGGTTGCTTTTTTCAACACGTTTGCCTTGCCCTGTCACAGACCTATTGAATTAGTCCTGGGTTGTGCCTCTTGAAGAAAAACTTCCCAGAATAGGATACTTCTGGAAGCCTGGCTGTTCTAGTTAGATTTCTGTTGCTGTGATAAAACACTGACCAAAACCAATTTGGGGGGAGAAAAGGGTTTATTTGGCTTGCTCTTCCTGATCATTGTCCATCATCGATGGACACAGGAACATAAGCGGGAACAGAGACAGGAACCATGGAGGAGAGGTCCTTACTGGTTTCCTTCCTCTAGCCTGCTCAGCCCCCCTCCTGTACAGCCCAGACCTACCTGCTCAGGGATGGCACCACCCATAGTGCTCTGGCCCCTCTGGTTTAGAAAACCAGCAAACAAGAAAATGCCTTACAGGTGTGCCCACAGGCCAATCTGATGGAAGAAATTCTTCAGCGGAGGTTCCCTCTTCCCAGGTGTCTCTAGTTGGTGTTAAGTTGACAAAAGCTAAGCAGTGCAGTGCCTTTCCTGATAGTTGCATGCTTTGTTGCATCATAGTTCTAAGTTGCACTGTCATGTCTTTTTTTCTGTATATTTAATACTGAATGCAATGAGGAAGACAGGGAATGCCAGGCTGTAACCCTGAAGGACTCATTGAGATGAGTCTTTGCACCTGCTATTTATTCTTGCTTAAATTCTGGCCTGTCTGTGCAAGCCAAAGACTTTCATTGTCTCTAGTTATCATGGGTCACTTATCAAGGGCAGTGAAGTTGCTGATGGGCATTTGAGTAAGAATACAGAGGTCCCTGGGGTGGTGACAATGGGGCAGGAAGACTTTGCTCATCTTGAGTGTGTCTCTTCCCCAGCGCTTCAGCATGGAAGGCATCTCCAACATCCTGCAGAGTGGCATCCGCCAGACCTTTGGCTCCTCAGGGACTGACAAACAGGTATGTGTAGTCCCTTAACTCCTTTGCTCCCCAAGACTCTGGAAGCTCAGCTTCCCCACCAAAGCTGAGGGGAATGGAGATTCACTAGAATTACTTCTGTATTTGGGCAAGGGTAGAATATCCTAATATTTTCTTCCATTCTTAACAAAAACACAGAAAATTTCTTTCAAAGATGATATTTTTGAGGTCTTGTATTTTGGACATAGATAAAACTTAAAACAACACTAATTACAGATCTATGAATTAGTTTGATTTAAGAATAAAGTGCATTTGGGGGGGATCTATTTCATGAGAGATCCCATCATAGAGTTTAATCTATTGGACTGCTGGTGGAGCCAGTACCACCAGTACTCCTCTTCAGCCTCAGGCTCTGATTGTAATTCCCACTGTGGCACCTCTTTCTTGGCTCCACTTTGTCAATAACTGTAATCGGCTTTGCAGTGCTACAGTGAAATGCCTGAAGCAATTAACTTTAGAAATAGTAAGGTTTTGTTTGTTTGTATTGGTTGGCTTCATTGGTTTGGTGTTTGATAAGGTGGCATCATGGTGGGAGTGTATTAGGAACAAGCAGTCCCATGTTAGGCCAGAGAGAGAGGTGGGGGGAGGTTAGGAGGTTAGAGAGTTTATTTTAAATAACTAAATCTCCTTTGAGGGCATGGCTAAGGACCTCGCCCTGAGCCCTACTGCTTTTTTTTTTTTTTTTTTTTTTTTTTTTTTTTTTTTTTAAGATAGGATCTCCCTATAACCCTAGCTGTCCTAGAACTTGCTACATAGACAAGATTTCACAAAGATCTTCCTGCCTTGGCCTCTCAAGTGCTAGGATTAAAGGCATGCGCTACGATGTCCAGATCCAGGCCCAACCTCTTAAAAGGCCTTAGTGTGTCTCAATACCATGACCCAAGGGACCAAGTGGCCCTTTGGAGGACACTCATTATACTCAAACTTCAGCATCTATGATACAACATACAGTTCTGGTTATTAAGGCAGAGTTCAACAACTTTGCCTGTTTTGTGCTATCATCTATCGTTAGTTCCTCAGGCACAAAGGTGAGAAGTCCTGGGCCCTGCACTCATGGAATGCATGATCTAATGGACTTGGCAGTGTTTGAACTGACAAGTTTGAAAGTGTAGAATAAGTGAGCACCTGTGTATGCTATTTGACCATTTGAGGCTGAATCCTAAGTGTTGGAATTGTACAACTGTAGCAGGGAAGACTATGAACATCTAGCCAGCCTTTCATATTCTTAGCAGCAAGAACTAAGGCTGAGTGATAAGGCAGCTTTGCGAGGCCTCTCTTGCCAGTGGCAGTGCCAAAACTACAGTGGAAGACTTCTCCGCCTTGCTCTTACCACCTCTGGCTCCCTTAGGGCCTGACAAAGTTTGTCTGGCCTGTGCTGGTCTTTGATGCCCACTGGGCACATCCTCGTTAGATTTGTTGCAGGAGTCCCTCGCATCCAGCAGAGGGAGCAAATCAGACATTCAAGATCCTGGGTTGGGTGAATATAGCATTTTTGACAAAAGAGAAATAATTCCTTCTCAAATTACACAGGGAAAGATTTTAGAATGTACCTACTGCCTCTGCTTTCAACCAGAAAGAGAAGAGCTCCTCAGGGTTCCTAGATAACCAAGAAATTTTTAGCATATTGAGAATGTAAAAATTAGGACAGAAGGAAATTTTTCCCCAGGAAGGTTTTACTTTTAGAGGCCTTTGCCAAAAGGTAGAGGAAAGTTCTGAGATTAGGGTTACCCAGAACACCCGTTTGACAGAAATTTGACAGTGTCTCAGAGAAAAGCATGGTCTCTGTGTAAGCTGTCCACTGTTCTCAACCCAAGGGGGTTGGTGTCTCAGGCTGTGTATGCCCTGTTTGTCTTGACAGTATCTGAACACAGTCATCCCGTACGAAAAGAAATCCTCTCCTCCCTCTGTGGAAGACCTGCAGATGCTGACAAACAGTGAGTTAGTTCCTGCTCCTCAGCCCTGGGTGGTGGGTGTCCTCCCTCCTGCCCGTACACCTCTAGCATTCAGTCCCCAGATTTCTCAAAATACTCCCTGTATCATTGTGCCACATTTTTTCCTACACAGCAGAATTAAAATACTCTGCTGTGATCCCAGAGCTGTCTTTTCTTGCCCTGCTGAAAAAAGAGACTGGGGGCAGGGTAGGGAGGGCAGAGGAGGATAGGGAGTTTTCCATCCCCATCCCCATCCCCCTCACCCCCTGCAGTTCCCTGGGTTTTGTCTTCTCTGCCTGTCTTCTGCAACTTCCAGTTGCCAGGTCTACACCTGGGCCCCTTGGAGCAGAGAGTTCAGCTTGTGGCACTGACTGTACTTTTAATGCAAAGCAAGGCTTCTTGGTGGGGTGAGGCTGTTTGGAAAGAATAGAGTCTAGTTTTCCTTCCAGAAAGCGACTGCCTCTTTTCCTTCACTTTAGCTGTTTCGTTCTCTATTAATAAACATTCTGAGCTGTGGGAAAAAGCAACATGTAATAAAGTGCTTTTATGGCAGAATCTATCCATCTGTATATGTATGTGTATCAAACAGTCCAACTCCCAAAGGGCTGGAACATGTTTCAGCTAGCAGTGTCAGCTCGGCTTTCTTAGGAGGAGAAAAAACCTAGGTTGGCTCAGTGGATCAGAGAGAAATTACATTTCCCTGACAACCGTACATGCTGAATGACAGCTCACAAGGCTGCTCACTGTGGGCTGCCTTGGAGGAAACAGGCCAGAACAGGCCAGAACAGGGCTATTGGTCACACCAGGGCAACAGAGAAGGGCTGCTGTTCAGCCTAGGAAGACAGATCCCCCCCCGTTAAAGGTAAAGGAACGCTTTCTTTTCAGCCATTTGGAGAACAAACGCAGGCAGCAAAGAAATCCTACAAACACCTATAGACGCTGTGTCCTTGAGAATCAGGAATTTTAAATTCAAAGTACATTGACTTGCTCTTAATTCAGTTTAAACTTCTATATTTACATAAACATGGGCTGAGATTTTTTTTTTCCAGCACTAGGAACTGAACCTAGTGCCTTGTGAATGCTACCATGGAGATGAGCTCCCCTCTGCCCCTTATTTTTTGAGTGAGGATCTCACCGAGTTGCCCAGGCTGCCCTTAGACTCCTTATATAGTGCAGGCAGGTTTCAAATTTGCTATTCTGTTGCCTCAGCCCCTAGAAGAGCTGGGATTACAGGTTTGTACCACCAGGCCCAGCTTTTATTTTTCTTTACTTTTTTTTATTTTTAGGGATAGGGTCTCAACTTTCCATTGACCTGACTTAACCTCCTGAGTGTTGGGATCATAGATGTGCTCTAGTTTTTGTTTTGTTTGGGTGGGTAAGGAAATAGATAGAAATACATTTATAGGACCACTGGTATAGCTCAGTGATTCAGAGCACTTGCCTAGCATTCATGAGGCTCTAGGTTCAATACCCACTATCACACACACATAAAGCATTTATAAGTGTATTTTCACAGTGGTAAACATATGAAAAACAACTTGCACAAATTTCAAAAGTTCATGTTTGCAAAGTACTTAATCATATTCTTCAAGGGGGCTGGAGAACTAGGGCTGGAGGTATGTAAGAACGCTTCCTGCTCTTCCAGAGGACAAAGGGGTCTGTAACTCCAGTTTTAGGGGACACAGGGCCCTCTTCTGGCCTCTATGGGCACTGCACACACATGATGTACTTTTATAAATGCAGGCAAAACACCCACATAAAATAGAAATTGAAAGGGAAGAACTATTTATTTGTCACAGACACTCATCTAGATATTTACTGTGAGACTCTTCATTGTAATAAACGGACTTGTTTTTATTCTGAGTGGTTTTCAGGTTTTTTCAGTTGTTTACATTTTTCAGTTCATTAAAAAATTATAGGGCCAGTGAGATGGCTCAGTGGATAAAGCACTTTCTGCACAGGCCTGCTGACCCCCGTTCAATCCCAGAGCCCGCATAAAAGTGGAAGGACAAAACCAACTCCACAGAACTGTCTTCTGACCTTCTGTGCTCCATGTCTTGTGTGGTCACATACACATTATGCACACACACTAATAATGATAATAAATAAAAACCTTTTAAAAATTGTAACCAGGGTATTCAGGTAGAAATATGGAAAAAATGAATGAAACAAGAAAGTAATTCATTGTGCTAGTCAACTTTATATAACTGTGACAAAATACTTGAGAAAAACAATGTAAAGGAAGAAAGGTTTATCTTATTGTTCCAGAGGTTTCAGCCCATCTGCTTGGTTTATTCTTTCTGGGCCCTATAGAGAGACAGAAGTGATAGGTAAAAATGTTGGGAGAGAGCGGGCGGATGGAGGAGGCACCGAGGCACAGATAGAATTCTCAGCGGGATACAGATTTATTTCACACGGGGAACCTTTCCCTCGGGGAAGGGAAAGATGTCAGGGAAGGGAAAGATGTCAGGGAAGGGAAAGATGTCAGTGAAGGGTAGGGAAGGGAAAGATGTCAGGGAAAGATGTCAGCCCACGGCCTGTGAGCTGGGACTTTATATATGGGGGCTTTAGGGTGTAGAAGGGGGAATGTTTGAGGGAGAAATCAGGGAGGGGGAAGCAGGAAAAGCAGGTAGGATTAGGGTCTGGAAGTGTTTACTTTTTCCCTCTTAAGAAAAGAGAAAAGCTGTTATGATAACTTCTAAAATCTCTGGTTATCAGGTAGAATCTGCTTATCTTATCTTTGGAGATCAGAGGAAAGGCAGGCTGCTTCTCAGCAGAGTTTGTTTCCCTTGACTTCAAAGGTCAAGGTGAGGTCCCTGTTGGGGAGGGGGGAAACTGCTGCTGTTTGGAACCCTAACAAGAGGGTATAGTGGAGCAGAGTTGCTCATCTCATGACTGCTAGGAAAGCAGAAAGGTGAGGAAGGAGCTCAGGGGACAGATAGAGCCCTCAAGGGTATGCCCTCCCGGGCCCACTCCCTCCAACTAGGTCTCACCTTCTCAGTTTCCCTTACCTTCCAATAGCCCATCAAGTTGTGAACATATCAGTGGGTGAATCCATTGGTGGGTTTAAAGCCTTCATGAGCCAATCACTTCCCTGAAGCTCCACCTCCAAACATTACTGCATTAGGGACTTTGGTGGTTTGAATGAGAATGCCCCCCATTGGCTTCAAGTATTTGGACATTTTTCCTCCAGTTGGTGGTGCTGTTTGGGGAGGTTTTAGGAGGTGTGGTCTTGCTGGAGGAATCATGTCACTGGGGGCAGCTTTGAGAGTTCTTAAGCCTTGCTAGATTTCCAGTGGCTCTCTGCTTCCTGTGTCTGCTTGAAGATGTGATTGCTTGGCTTTCTGCTCTAGCCACCGCCTTCTGCCATGCTTCTCCTGCTATTACGGACCCTTGCCCCTGAAACCGTAAGCTAAATAAACTTTTTCTTCTATAAGTTGCTTTGCTCCTGATGTCTTATCACATCAACAGAAAAGTAATAATAAAGAAGTTACAGAAGTTGGTATCAGGAGTGAAGTACTTGACCATGTGTGTTTTTAAAGGAATGTAGAAGACTTTGGAAGTTTGGACTAGAAAAGTAGCTGAATACTATAAGAAGCGCTTAATGGGACATTCTAATTAGAGCCTGGAGGAAAATAGTACTGAGAGAAAAGTAGTTTCAGAGGGAAACAGGACTTAAATAGCAACTAGGATGTTTTGGCAAAGAATCTGGCTGCTACTTTAAGAGCTTGTCTGAGGTTAAGTTGAAAAGTAATGGACTAATTTCTTTGGTGGAGGAAATTTCAAGACAGTCTAATGTTGAATTAGTGGCATGGTTATTAATGGTGAAGATTATGGAGATCTACAGTAAAAAAAAGAGCAAGTGAGGAAGAAAGAAATGCAGAATATACAGTTTGGATTGAAAAAGATCGCCAAGATTAATGGAGCCAGGACATGTGCTGAAGGAGAGGCTCTCTTTGATAAGGAAATCAGAGCCATTATGCAGAGGCCAACAGATTTGCATTTAAACAGTGGAAAGAGTACTTTAAGGGAAAGACCACACCTAGCTAAGCTTCCAATTTGTGAAAGGAAAATGCCTGAGGGGTTTTCTGCTCCTAGAAAACCACAGCATAGAAAAGCTGCTAATGTGAACATAGTAGTCATGATTCATCCTAGTCTGGAAGCTGAATTTGGCAGTGTTCACATGGTGTTGGCTTTAGAGGCATGGAAGATGCAAGAGTGAAGGGGTTATTGGTTCTTCCACCATTGTTTCAGAGAGCTGCTGAGCTCAGGCAGCATGCAGCAGGCGTGTTTTTGCATAAAAAAGTCCCTAACAGGCCAAGGGGCCCTGACAGACCATTGTGTAAAGCTATGAAGGTGAAGCCTGGTTAAAAATGAAGACTCAAAGATGCTAGACCTGTGAGACAGCTGCTGAAGAGAGCTGCATAGAGGGAGATGTATGTAGCACACAGCAAAGCTGGAAGAACCGAGCCATCTAAGCCCTTTGGAAGTAAAGTCCCAGAAGTCAGACATGGAGCTACTGGATTTGATGTTTTCCCTGCTGGGTTTCAGTCTTGTTTTGGTTCAGTATCTCCTCAGTGTGCTCCCATTCCTCCCTTTTGGAATGGAAACGCGTTTTTAGTTCCATGTATGTTGGAAGGATGTAAATTGTCTTTTGATTTTACAGGGGCTTATAGTTAAGAAATTGCCTTGAGTCTCAGAAGAGAGTTTGGACTTTGAACTTTTGAATAGTATTGAGATTGGTAAAGATTATGGGGACGTTGAAGGTGAACAAAATGCATTTTGCCTTTTTTTTTTTTCAAGTATTTACTGTTTTTATTATATAAAGGAATTCTTTTATTCTTTTCAATATTTTTTAATTATTTATTTAATAACCACATACTTAGAAGAAGCATTTCATTACAACAGCATTGACATATTCAATAACAGTTTTCAGAGCTAAGATGCATCTCTTTCAAAATTAGCTGTAAATTTTTAGGTTCACAGTTGAATTAATACAGTTA